CCCCCACACTTTTCCAGCCAGCCTCATCGTCTACGGGGGATTTGTGGGGATGTAAAACAACACCTTTTAAAGGTGGCCATTTTGGGACAACACTGAGTTACAACATACCAGCAGACAGTGTAGGCTGGAAGCAGCAGAATAGAAGACCGAGGGGAAGCTGATGGGGTCAGATGGCTGAAGGCTGACATCACACGAATATGAAGAAATACTAACTGAATTGACTAAAATATTGCAGAGAAAATCTTTGGCCTTGCGAGTATAAATATCAGTTCGATGAGCGGGCTTTCTGAATGTTTAAATGGAAAAAAAAAAACAGAACAGCTGCACAGAATATTTTTGGGGTAGTGTTAGGGCTTTCTATCTGAAAGCCTCCATTTTTGTTCCCAGCAATACATGACCCACTTATAATCATATTAGGTGTGCAAGGAGCCATCCTGCTTTTAATGCATGCCCAACATGCATAATAAGAAGTGGTGGCAACCGTGGTCATAAAATTTCCTGGAGCCAAATTTGACTAAGTGAACTTCTCCCACTGATACGTAGCAGAGGGTTTGCTGGCTTGCTTTGACCCAGAACTAGATTTACAGGAGGGTTTGGTGTGACACTCCATTCCTTTATGCCTTCTGTAATAAAGGGAGTTCAGCTGATTCACAAGATCTAAATTATTGGAAATATTGTCAACAGAAAAGAGCTAACATTTCACAGCCTTAGGGTTTTTCCTCTTTCTCCTTTGATCTCCACAGGGCCCAGGGGACTCCAAGTGAAGGCTGAAAACTAATCTGTCACGATGGGTGAAATAGAGCAGATGAAGCAGGAGACTGAGCAGCTGAAGAAGCAGATTGAGGTAATGCTGAGAACAAGAGGGAAATGGCTGAGACTGGGCAGTTTCCTCCACCTCAGATGAGGATAAAGGCTGCCTATGAAACCCTCGTTCATATTTCATCCATGAAATCATGAGCAGCCTTCTCGGCCTCAGCTCCCTACCTGCAGCCCTGAAAATGGTATCTCACACAATTATTTTAAAGATTATAATTCAGATAAAGCACATTAATCAGTGGTAGGTGAGATTAGACCTATAAGCACCATGTTCCTGAAGATACTTCCTTTGGGGCCTCCCAACCTCCCTCTGCAGCTCATCTGGCTGTCTTATTTTTAAAGGTAAAGCTTGCACACTGCAAGGCAAAAAGCCAGTATTATATTTCCACTATATCACTGTTAGGCACACGCCTTTGTTTATTTGTTTACCCAAGTTCCAAGAGCCAGATAGAACTTGA